GCCACACCTATTCTGGAATGACCAAGCATGCTACATCTCATGTACGGATCACTGCCACTTTACACTGCCAACAAACTATTAGTTAAATTCTAATTTTAACCTGAAGCAACCAGAGTTTTGGATTCACACTTGATGGCAATGAAAGTGGAAGTAGGTGAGCAGGTGGGAGCCAGTATACTGACTCATTCCATACACTCACAAACAACCATCAGGAGAATTGACTCAAGCTGTTGCAACAAGAGAAAGGGACGCCATTCCCTATCTTCCCTACAATGGCACTGTGGTCATTACAACATATATATGGTCATATGTTTCTGATGTGCAGCCATCCTTGGAAACAGCAGGATGTCCTCCACTGGAAGGGCAACACTGTCCAAAACAGCAGACATTAGTACCTGCCTTGGTATTTATGACCCAGGAAAAGCCCATTAGATTTCAAGGGCAGGAAGAGAGAGTACACATCTTTCCAAGCATTGTATGAGAAGATACAACCATGACCACTACTCTCCAAGCAGGCAGGGAGAAGGCTCCCAGCTATGCAGTGGGCTATCAGTATAATTTCCAAAGCCTTGAACCTGTTGCATCATCAGCCTAGAAGCCTCATACTTCAGATCCAAAGCGATATCACGGATATACTGATTCTGTGAAAGGAGCAGGAACCTTTTAAACAAAGAACAATAATGCAGTAATGATCACAACTTGGAGCCTTCAGTTATGGAAGCAGTTTTATTTTGCAAATCTGCATCATCTGGGCTTTAACATGCAACACTTTAGTTGGTGGGTAATATTTTGGTAGGGATTCCTCCTTGTGAGGCCATCAGTTCAGCAGTCCAAGTCACATCACAAGTCACTTGCGCTTTGTCCTTGTGCCTCACACTAATGTCATTACAAGTTCCTGGGTGCATGCGGTATCAGGTGGCCTGATTTGGATCTCATGAAATGAATAAGGGAACACATCATGGAAAACATTACTTGAACCAGTTTAAAAGTTACATGAGCTCACAATAAATCTCACGAGAATTTTCCAAATACCTCTCTCACAATCTCTGTTTAGCCTAGACATTGAACGTTTCCTTTAAATTGAAGGGCCTTCTCTACCCATAAAACCTATTTTCCTTTAGGTTGTTGTCTTCAGTTCTGGACTATCACTGCATGAAACAGCAACACCAAATAAAATTAAATTCTTGACTCAGGTTAACAGTCTTTTCTATTTTTAACTCTATTGCTGTTTTGAATTATGCATGTTCAAGACATGAAATCTTAGACTTGTTCCTTGTGTGAATAGACCTATTGAATCATTGACTCACTGTCTGGGTGAGTTCATGGAGCAGCATTTGTTGGAAAATGTGGTAATAGCCTGAAAAGTGGTTTTTAAAATTACATCATCCTTTTTCTCAGGTCAAATGAACATGTTTAGAGTATATCGTACTAAAAAATGGAAAAAGCAAGCATTGTGTATGGCTTCCCACCATTAGCCCACTTTATATTTGGAGAATTCTACTTCATATAAACATATTTGGATGTTACAGATAACTTATCAAATCAAGAGGCTGAAGTTTCCCCATTTTGTCTGGAATGTTCACAGCACTTCTGACCTCTTTAAAAGAAGTAATGAATAAGTAGGGTGACAGGTGACTCCTATCTTCAACTATTAGGGAGTCCATAGTCCAGATGTTAGGAGCTGCATTCGGCTGTGATTACCGCCTATATAGGCAGTGTCTGAACCTGGCAACCACATTTGCATCTGTAAAATGCAGATGGGTCATAATGAAGTTTAGAATTGCTCCTTTTTTCCTCTGGTACAGCCTTCTCCAACCTGGTG